CAGGTCGGCTCTCTGGCCCTGAGTGCTGGGTAAAAGCGATGCCCTCTCTCCTAACTACCCTTTGTAACTACTTGGTAAAAGTAAGGAATGAGGCCCGGCCTAAGCCGGGCGACCCAACTGGTTACATTATATACCAATGGACTATTCTCCTCAATGCTTCAACCATAAAGGTTCTGTTGAACAACGATAGCCCTTACCCTGATATCTCAAATGTGCTGTTAGATAAATAACTGGAGAAGTGCAGGTGAACTAAGCTAAACCTACGGGAATATCCCTTTTGTTAGTACCCAATAGCTGAAGATCTTCGAGATTTTCCCCTCACTGTTATTCTCATGTTCAAAACAGTCTCGTGAATGGCGAAAGGTTTTCGGATGAGTTTTGCTAGTTACTTAACTTCTACTGAAAAGTTCTCTGGGAGGGGGTGTCTTCAGTATATTGGGCATCTAGAGTTCTGACCTATTCTGACCAGCCCGAATAAAAGTCAAAGTTGAATTCGCTCACTTCAGTTCTGTCCTTTTTCTCGCCCCACTCCAGTGTCCGCTCGATCATGGCTGATGCAAATTGATCAAGTAGTGTAGCGCGAAATGGGCACCCATCTGTAAAAGTTGACATTTTCCAAAGAGAATCTAAAGGATCATTCGGCCTCTTAGTGTGTTCACAAGGTCTCATACGGTGTTAATCACATCTGACATCACGTTCGATTACAAAATGATTGAGATTGAGGGAAAGCTCTACAAATGAACGAAAGCCCCAGCTGGGAGTTTCTGGAATTTTTTGCGTAATGGGAGTGAAGCGAAATATTCATTCTCCAAGTTTTGTTTTTTATTTAAACTCTTTCTATCTATGGAGTGTTTTGACCATGCTTTCTAGCTCCTGACTTTTTCGAGCCGTTTTAGGTGCTTTTCTTTTGGGAATTCCGAATATCGCAGAGGCTTTCTGTCGAATCGAAATCTATTTCTAAAGGTGTGAAGAAAGGTCCGAGATTGTGTGTAAACTCCGCTTTTTCTGAAAACAACTTAGACAACAGATCTCAATTATGTAAAGCCGATGGTATAGTAGTTCTTCTTCGCACAACGAATTGGCTTTCAAAAAGGTCTTCGAGGTCTACGAGAGGTCTTCATAAAAAGATATGAGAAAAAAAAGTGGAATCAACTGGTACACATAAGGCTGCCGTCCTTGCGGCTGTTGGGAACTTACATTGATCTCTGGTCTGGAAAACATGTTTTTCTCCGGATTCTCGTAACGAAGGACTCGTTGCTGTGGGATTGTCGAGATTCGCTATCAGTTCATCCATGATAGTGGTGAAGATCTGGGCGTGTCTCTGAAAGCTTTCAGAACATTTCCGCGACTTTTTGAGTTTTTGGAATTGTAAAAAATTCAAATTCTTCCAAAACTCCCTAAATTCAATCTTTCCCGCATTATAATAGTTTAATGTGCTTGGGTGCAATAGTTTTTAGTCAGCCCTCAATTTACACTCATACGCTGGGGTGGTTGGGGTGATGTAGTGACAATGGCCCGTCATCCAAACGAATGGTGATTTGTTTGATCGTTTGAGCTCTTGATGCCTTCCATTCTGTTTTGAGGTCGGCTTAAAAACGCTTATACCGTATTCTGGATCCCCTGTAGGTATAGCCACCCATGAAATGACAACAAAAGTGGACGAATTTTTCGACAACTCGATGACGTAGGTCTCGAAATAAATACTTGCGAGCGCCGAGGCTATTTTGTCCCTGGGGATGTTGTCTCGTCTCGTTCCGTAAATTGACTGGTCCGCAACAATTGAACCAACTTTTTACCTTCAATCGTTCATGTCCCGCATTCTTCGTTCCGTGCATCATCATTGAACGAATCTCTGGGTTTTTGAAAAATGAATTCCTGCAAATGAAAATCATAACGATAAATATATTGATAATAACAGAAGGAAACGTGCCTGAATATGCTAATTGCTGGCTCAAGAGCGCCTTGATTCCGTGCATGTGTCCAGGTTCTTCGAATGAGCAGTATTTGAGCAGGAGTAAGACAGAGAGACGATGAAACGAGCGGAGCGGAACTCGCTATGGCTAAAAACTCATTACGGTAGTTGCAGGAAGGCCAAAACTATCTTTCTCACGGGTTTTATTACAAGAAGCACACTTCAAGGATAGGATAGAAGTCGAATCAACGTCCATGTTACGATTACAGTAGCGGACTAACCACTAGAGCTGCTTGAAGTAGGTCTCTCTTTGGAGAGCTGAGTTCTCAGTGGTGACACTCCGTTCTTTGAGCTTTTTGTCGACGAGCTTTTTACCACTGAAAAGCTGTGTGGGTTAGGTCGAATGGAGGGGTGAGCTGAAAAAGGGTTAGATGTTTGGGAAATTGGAAACCGGAGGAGAAGAGGGAAAAAAGTGTGAAAGGAGATGGATGTGACTGGGTATTCGATCTTGCATTCAAGCGGATTCCCTTATGGAACAATTCCAAACTCATTCGTAGTGGAGTCAATGACTCCATCCACACATGCACATGCAGGCAGTACAGCTCGTCAGAGTTGCGCTAACTCGCTCCGAACTCCAAATTTTGAATTACCATTAAATCCGATTTTTTATAAATTTTAGTGATGAAAGCTCNACCACTTTTCATGCGAATCTTACAAAATCTCTGTAATTTCTGTTAGTTCAGAAATAATGGAAGCAGTTTTTTCCATAATAAGTCAGTGCACAAAAAAGTGCACAGCAATTCCTACCTTTTTCCGTTTTTTCGGCCAAGTGCACAATGGACGAAGATTTTTGTGGGAGTGGAGAAGTCGATGTTTCTTTGTGCATTTTTTCGTCACTATGCAGTCCAGAACTGAGAGTTCGGCAGACGGAAAGCCTGCACATAAAGTGGTTCGATTAGAGGAGAGGAGTTAATCGAAGAAGGGCTCAATGGGAAGAACTCACTGGCTTCTTGGCGTTGCAGCTTCTGCAAAGCTTGATGAACGACTTCGTGAAGCCGATGGGACTTCAGCCGAGTTCTCTTTAGACTCGTCTAGAAAACGATGCAGTTGACGTGGTAACATCAAAGGACGTATCACATACAAATCGAGTTAGAAATGCAGTTTTCTTAACGAAAATACATTTTTTATTAGATTTGAATCGATTGTTTTGCAAAAGTGACATTTTAGTTGCAATCCGCTGGGACGATTTGGAATTGTTTAAAGTTTGGTCAACTTGGGCTCAGATTCTATAGCTCATCCTTGTTGACGTTTCTATTCCAAAAGAGCGACTCCGATAACAATAATGATCGCAGGAATAAGATTTGGACGAGTTTCTGCAGCTTTTATTCCTTGGGACAATGGTAATACAAACTGATGGGGCTATGTCATAACAGAAAGCCTTTCTGCCGGAGAAGGTAACTTCATGGTAGCTGAAATGATTCGAATACCGAGCCCTGATATGGTGCTAGTTTCAGGAAGTAAGACCCTAGAGCTGGTGCTTGTATATAATTCGTCGAGAAGGTGCTCAATCGGCCGGAGAGGAGGTGGGTGCATGGCGCGATCACGAAAAAGGCCTTGCTAATGTCGTAGCAAGTCCAGAAAAGAGGAATCCTTCAGAGGCAGAGATTAAATACGAAATTCTAAACTGGGAAGTGATCAGAGCTTTTGATGGAGGAGTTATTTCAAGTGAGTTTTCCAATACAGCCTAGGCGATAGTTGTTGAAGGCTTGGAGTCCTAGTTTTAACGAAAATTCATTACACTCACTAAGGCCAGGTATGGCAGCGATTTCGCTGCGCCTGACCTCTCCTCCTGCTATGTGTTGACTTCATTTCGGAGGAATGAGTTCAATGTGGTTGTGGAAAAACTGGCATGAACCGAGTCGAGGCCAGTGGTTAAACGGAACATTCAGCGCTAGAGAATAGTGTAGTAAGAAAGCGTAAAACATTCAATTTGCTTATAAGGAATCGTATGTGACTGTGTCCATTTAGTATTCATAGAGCACAAGTTGTTGACAACAGAGCTTCCATATTCCCAGGCAAATCGCGCAACAAACAATTCAGAAGAAGACTGAATATGGTGAAGACCCACTTGCGTAATGAAGAAGTAATTTATAATGCAGCAATTCTAGCTATTTTTCGGACCTAAGGACACATTCGTATAGACTCCAAAACGGTTACCCAATTTAATGCAGGCTCAAAATGGTCTAGGCAAGAATCATTGTGTCAAGTTCGTGGAAGGAGCTAATTCAGTAGCTGGCAGCCTCTAGTGGCCGGTAGAACATATCCTGAGCATTTCGTTACACGAGCCTCTCAAGCCCACTTGTGGGATGCATGTTTTTAGCAGCACGATATGCATTGTAAATGTGTTGATGTTGTTACAATGCCGGTCCCCGTTGCCTTCCAAGATATCCTGTTCTAAACGCGATGATTTGCATACACCTGATGGAAGAGAATTCCATACAGAGGACGACCACGAGGTCGGAATAGTACGGTATTCTGGTGGAAAAATGGCAACACTGATAAGAAATGCATCGTTAAGAGAAGCGAGCGACAGATGTGATGCAGAAGGAACGAAATTGTCGCGTCGTGGCGAGAGAGACGCCGCTCGCGATGAAGTTCAGCAAAATGCAGCAGCAAGTAAGAAATACAGGAACAAAAGTAATAACAGCAGAATCATGCTTAAAGTAATAATGGCATGACGATGAGCTGCATGAAGAACGCTAGAAATGTCATATTGAGGCAAATGGTCCGCGACAGCCGCGTGCGGCGGATCGATTACACAAAACCGTTCCTACTGCCCGTCTCCCGTGAGCGACCAGCAATGAAGTGAGGGAGGATTTGCGTAAAAGCTTCCTCTCTTTCATCTGTGAGTCCCTGAAATCAGCCAGTGACCGTGATATCTGTAGAAAGCTTGCGGTTGTCTCTGTAGAGAATCTGCGTGACTCGATTTATTCATTTTTCGAACCTCTTCCCATGTATAAAAAACCGGTAAGACTACGGTATGCCACTGTCGGAGGTTGTTCATTGTACGGCAAGTATAGAAAGATGAACAGAGCTATATAGCTTTGGGTAGTTCGATCCAGCTAGCAGTGAAAAGAATCTGACTTATTTTGATTCAAATAAATCCTAGGCCAAATATTCCCAGAAAATCGGGGCCGTAAAGATGAAGTAGAAGCTATTGAGGCTACCACTGAGAGAGTTTTAGCTTCGTACATACAATTAGGTACAGCGCAGGTCTGTTTAGCGAATGTAGGGTTCGAAAAATGGGTGAGAAGGTATAAGAGGAGTTTATGCCTTTTAAAGCCTCGCTCTCAGGATTACAATTTCATGAAACGGGTGCGGCTAAATTCAATATTGGACAGGATATGTTGGGACAAGCAAACGATGCAATTTTTTCTTTTTTCCATTCGGTGAGTTGCAAACCTATCGCTATCGGATTATGGTGGATATAGAGGTACGAAGATCCCACTCAAATTCTCCAAATCCTGCCTGTAAAGCCCTTAGTGCTTAATCATGTATAGGACGAAAGATTGAGTACTGCCATCGGCACCAGGGCCAGCTAATAGATTACGGCAATATTATCTCAATCTAATAAAAAACAGAGGGTAGAAGCGATACTTCAGTTCAAGAATGTTACCAGGCTGGAATGGGTTTTGAGTGCAGTTCTAACCCATGCCTATCGCACATGTGAGACGAGGTTGTGAACATTTTCACGGACAGACCTTTTTATAGAGCACAAAGCAAAGAATAAAAAAAAATCGATTTTCATATCAATTCTCCCGGGTTGGGTCATATATCCAGTTACCGTCCAGAATCATGTGGATCTTTATATGAGTTTAGGACCGATTAACAAATACGAAAGCTATTTGGTCTGGGTTTCTCATCATTTGCCTCAATATGCACCATACATTGACTATTATTTGATCACTTTCACGAGACGATTCAAAAACCCATGCGGCTCGCAGTATCAGCACCCCGTTCAATTATTATCCGGCTCCCACGTCACCGGCTGCTTTCATAGTCCACGATTTGGCCCGCGACCGGTCGCGCGATCAGTCCGGGCCAAATCGTGGACTATAAAAGCAGCCAGTGAGCCACCACTTTCATTCCTCATGCTATAGAGAAGGCACAACCGTCAGAGGCATAATAAACAGGGTCGACAGCAATAGACAAAATATTTCAAAAAAAAAGAATATCTAAATTTTCGTCTGTAAGCAATAAAATATGGGTTTTATTAATTAGTCTAAGATGCCTCTAGCAAAGTAATAAGGTGCATTTTTTTTGAAGATCTTCCCTCTATTTTTGCAATACACGGATGGCGTGAATGGGTTTGCACGTATTTACGGTCAGCTGGTGACGTAAGCATAGTTCTACGAGCAGACCTGCTTTGCGCTTCCAAGTGAGGGCTTTGCTAATTGAATTTTATTCAAGCGGATCTCGACTAAGATTCAGAATCTTTCAAGAAACGTCAGAAGCATGGAAGATGATGAAGAATAGAATTTACCTTTTTTTAAGAAGAAAAGAATAGCTTCGAACGTGAATGAAATCGCACTGCCTCAGGTTAGCGTGCTTCGTGAAGGGCACCTCCTAGGCGGGTTTTTTCGTATCTGTGACGGAATTAGATTTTCTAGGTACACACATATAGGAGATGACGTCGCATCGCTGAACAAAACAATTCCGTGGATGTGTAAAGGATTTCCCAAGAAGTTCAGTAAAGCAGAGAGGAGAAGAAGAAAGCAGACACAGCCGTCCAAGTGAGTTACTGGTTGAGGGAATTGCAAGACGAAAATAAATATGCATGTTTTGCTCCCATGTGACTCCTTTCTTTTTGGTATCAGCATAAGGTTTACTGCTTTCGTTTGGGGGGTCTCGAAACTCATAAAAACAGCAAAAGAAAAGCTATCCAACGACTTTGGCCGTAGGCGGTTTTGATAGATCTCCATAGTGCGTTAGGACTCAGAAAAACCTAAGACACCCAGTAGCAGCCCCTCGCAGAATGAATGCCATACTTTTCGAAGTGTGGGAGATAGAAGACAGTATGAGTTACCCTCCACTATTAATGAGCCTTATAAAAGTCTCGAAAAGGCCGAAAAAGGCCAGGTTCGTCTTCACCGGCAAAATGCATAAATGTTACGATCAAGCCAACTTTATAAACTCACTGCCTAAGCACAATTCGAGCCGGCTTTTTTGCCTACTTCCTCCACAAGCTGGCTTTTATCGTGAATTCATGCTTCTAAATTGTCAGGTTCTGTTTCGGAGGCATGTAACAGGAAGAACATACGGGTTTTGGTTTTTTGATTTTACTGAATGAATCCGAAAATAGTTAAATTCGCTCAGCTGACTAACAAGCCATGACCATTGCCGGTAGTGCTGACGCATATCCTTTTCCTTCCTACGGGCAGTGTGCAAAACGGAAATTCGAC